CGCACTCTCGCCTGCATTTCGCGCACTCGACACGCACGATCTCCGCATGGGGTTGCGCGCGCAGCCGGCAAATTGCACTCTCGCCTGCATTTCGCGCACTCGACACGCACGATCTCCGCAGAGGGTTGCGCGCGCACCGCACCAATCGCGCTCTCGCCTGCATTTCGCGCACTCAACACGCACGATCTCCGCAGAGGGCTGCGTTTTCGGTTGACGCTGTTCGTCCCACCCTCCGCCTTTAAGAGAGAATTTATAAAGTGGGGAAATGTTTTTCATTAGGACATCTCCATCTCCCGTGCTAGCTTTCCATGCTAGTTTTCCATGTTCACTCATCACACTTGCATACTCATTGCATGCTTGCATGCTCATCATTAGACTTGCATACTTTGACACTTGCATACTTTGCACTTGGATGCTTTCGCTCTTCCAGTGTGTGTGTGTGTGTAAGTGTAAGTGTCGAAGTGTAAGTGTCGAAGTGTAAGTGTCGAAGTGTCAGTGTTCAAAGGATTTTCTGGAAAAACCCTTCGCAATGCTTTCGGGAAAAACGAAGTGGTAACTTTATGACAATGCCCAACTTGACCATGGCAAGGCAACGTGCGGGTTGTAAGAGGACTGTCACAGTGCCCCATCCCATGGCATCCTCCTGTATCCTGCCATGGTCCAAGCGCTGTGCCAGATCCAGCAGTGGATCTCCCCAGTCGCCCGCTTTTCTTCTGCTGAACTCTTCTCAAGTCCGAGGCCATGTGCTGAAGGTGACGTATTTGAGTCAGCGGACCTATTCCTGGACGCAATCATTCTGACAGCTTCCCACACTCTCATGCGTAGAGCACCTTCGGCGACACATGCAGACACCAACCGCACATGTCCGCCTTCACGTCCCATGACTAGGAGCTCCTGGGCATCGCTACGAACGGAGATCGGACGCTACAAACGGGGCTCCGGGCCTTACTACTAGGAGCAAAGAAACTACTAGGAGCAAAGGGCATCGCTACTAGGAACAAGGACGCTACTAGGGGCTCCTGGCCGTACCAAATTGGTCCAGTTGCATCGGTCAGTTGCTGGTTTCGACAAAAAACCGCTCCTTGCTCCTAGTAGCGATGCCCTTTGCTCCTAGTAGCTTGGTCTTTCAGCCATCTTCCGAGCGTGCAAAGCCGCTTCTGCGTTCAGTCTTCCTCCTCACAAGCCGACGTGCCACTGCGGGCCTTGTGATCTGCAGCCCCTCACCACACGGAAAAAGAAGCTGGCTGATGGATGGCTGGACATAGCACTTTTGCCTTTCCAGTATTTTATATGAACATAATAGGTAATATAGGTGTAATTGTATTTTGGTCTTTTTGAATTGCTTTGATTTGCTTTGTCTTGAAGTGTTTTGTCAACTACACAGTGTATGTCGTGCAAGGAGCGATCCTTCAGTGAGGACGAACTAGTCCAGCAGTTGAGGCGAAAGTTGCAAACTGTTTTACAAGATTCATTTCCATCAGTAGTAACAGGTGCCACGCTAGTAGTAACAGGTGCCACGCTAGTAGTAACAAGGTTTCTCTTTTATAAGGTTTCCTCCTTGAGGAATCTCTTCGACGTCCTTGAAAGAAGCAAAACAATTCAAAGGGAATTGTTATTTTCAATTCACCAGACTGAGGTCCGGAATGAAGATGACTAGTAGCGTCCTTGCTCCTAGTAGCGATGCCAGGAGCCCCTAGTAGCGAACATTGTTACTAGAAACCTGGCGGAACCATCAAAAGATTTGAGAAAGTGACATGCGCTTTTCAACTGATATCAAAGAGAACAGATGGAATGCTCAAGCAATTCAAACGGACGCACCAAAGGAATGCCAATAGGAACCAACAGGACTTCAACTGCACTGAAAAGGACATCAACATTGAGGGATTGATTGGGCCAAAATTATTATGGGCAACATTTTCTGGTGGAGGATTTTCAAAGGAGGGTCTCCAACCTAGTAGGAATGGCCTCCAACCTACTAGCGATGGCCTTGAACCTAGTAGCGCTGGCCTCCGTAGGGTTAGGGGAGAGTAAATCTTACATTTGCAGTTTGCATTACTCATGTAACAATAAGCTATTAGGAACAAGTGCCACGCTACTAGTAACAAGTGCCTTACTAGTAGTAACAATGTTTGCTACTAGGAACAAGTTATCATGATCAGAGCCTTCTTCTCATCCACAGCCTCGGACGTGCGTTCAATTCCAAGCTTTCTGGCAAGGTCGTTAAAGCCAAGCTCCAAAGATGAGCTTGCGTACGAAAGGTATGACGTCTTTCAGTTTTATTGGACACTTGGGCTGAGAAGACGTCATACCGGAGAGAGAGGGCACTGTAAAATAGAGATGGCCCTCAACCTACTAGCGATGGCTTCCACCCCTAGTAGCGTTCCCGGCACTTCCTTTGCCTTGAAATGCGCACTTCCTTTGTCCTTTTCGATAGATGCAATGCACTTCAAAACTATGTGAGTCTTGTCTAGCCGGAGTGCGCATCGCTTGCTGCTTTGCTTTATCATGTTCAACTTCCAGAAATGTGGTTCACTAAGGAGACATCCAGCAGTGAGATTGCTCTTTGTTCTAATGCTTTTCTTCTTGGATCTCTATATTTTCGGAGAGGAGCTGCACTGTGGCTGTCACAGGGCATCGCTACTAGGAGCAAGGATGCTACTAGTAGCTCCTGGCCTTACTGCAAGTAACAAGAAGCTACTAGAAACAAGTGCCTTACTAGTAGTAACAAGAAGCTAAAGGTAGCAATTTGCTCCACCCAGAAGCGTGCTTGCAGTCGACCCGGCCTTCCAGGACCCCACAACGTACTCCAAAACGCCTTGCCGGATCGGTGGTCTGGGCCTTGCCGGATCTTTGCTTACTTGTACGTACCTAGGAACAAGTGCCTCGCTAGTAGTAACAAGTGCCTTACTAGTAGTAACAAGAAAGCTATTAGTAACAAGTGCCTTACTACAAGAATTTAATTAGAATTGTAAATCTACTAATAAAACTACTAGGACCTTTTCGCGCGGGGGGGGGGGCACTTGTTCCTAATAGCTTCTTGTTACTACTAGTAAGGCACTTGTTACTAGAAGCGATGCACTTGTTCCTAGTAGCGTCCGATCGCTCCTAGTAGTACGGCCAGGAGCCCCTAGTAGCATCCTTTGCTCCTAAGGTCTGGGCCATATTGTAAACATTTTTCTGGTGGACTTGCATGAGAAAGACATTTTTCCCTGGCTGGTGCTTCGACTGCTGTTGCTGGGTTTGTTTGTTTCGGCTGGGCTTGTCTTGGCCAAGAAATTGAAGTCTCGGTTGGCTTTGCGTTTTGAGATGTTCACCTACAAGGGCAGCTACTTTATTATTGGATTCCTGGTTTTGACCATGAACTTGTTCATCTGTGCAAAGACCTACAATTGGATCCGCTGGAAGATCTTGTGCAACGACTTGGACGGCACGTGCCACTGTGAGGATGCGAAGTGCGGTGGTTACATCTCCAACGACCTTCACATTCGAAACGATCGCTTCGCGAGCTTAACGCAATGTGGAGCGTTCCTGGCCGATTCTCTGGCGGTCTTCAGCGTCTTGGATCTGATTTTACAGGATGACAGCATGTACCATTTCGGGAAGTTTTCCTTGTGTGGAACGGAAGTGAATCTGTTTGGTCTGTGGGAAAAGCACCGGACTCGCATTCTGTGGGGAAGCTTTGGCGTACTGATGGTGCTGGGAGTGATCGGCCTCTGGAACAGCACTGGTGCCCTGGCTGCTTACCAGCTGATGTCGGTCGGTCATCGTTCCAACATCGGTCGCATGGTGATTGCTGGAGCACTCTTCATCATCGACCTGTGCATCGTCACTCAAGACCTTGATTTCCCTCATTTCGAGAATTCCTTAGAAGTGATGTTGCTCGGCACAAACATTGCCTTCGAAGGGTCCTTTATCAACTACATCATGGTCTTTGTGTCCATGTTGCTGGACCTCAACTGCCTCTACACGCTCGGTTGGTACGAACCCACTGAATATGGTCAGTACTTCCTGGGCAACTCTTCGGTTTGTTCGCGGTCCAACGTCTCCGACTTTGAGGTGAATTGCAGCAGTCCAAAGTGTCCCAAAGTGGAGAAGTCCACCTTCTCGAACGACTGGAGAAATCTCACAACGTGCTATGCAGAGGATAGATTGCTACAATCGAGGTACAACGAAGAAATCCACAAGTACCGCCTCTATCTGGCGGCCATTCCGATTATGATTGGCATTTTTATTTTTGCCAGCTTGTTTCGCCTTGCAGGCGGGTGGGCTTGACCCCATAGATTGTCAAGCAAAAAGTGGATAGCGATGGGTTGTGCCGAAGCCACGTTTCAAGCTGTGCATTTTGGACTCCTCATTTAATTCTTTCAGGCAGATCTTGGCAGAATATGTGTCGACGGGTTGTCATCTCCAATGCCTTTGCTGCCAAGAGAATTCAGGAGAGACCACTCATTAGCACATTTCACTACAATTTAAAAACTTTGTAAACTTTTTGTTAAAAGAGAAAAGCAAAAGGGCCATTTGCTCGATGCGTTTGAGTGGAGTCGAGCTTTTGCTATTAGTAGTAAGAATGATCCTAGTAGCGATGCCAGGAGCCCCTAGTAGCGTCCTTCCTCCTAGTAGTAAGGCCAGGAGCCCCTAGTAGCGTCTTGTTGCTAGTAGCGATGCCAGGAGCCCCTAGTAGCGTTTTGTTCCGAGTAGCGATGCCAGGAGCCCCTAGTAGCGTC